TGGATGCTCATAGTTAGATTATCATTAAAATATTTTTCTTGCTATTCACAAGGTAACTTTCCACTTGTATCAACTGTCAATTCTCAGGAAAGGAAAAGGAACATTCATGTGGCTTGATATAAAATCTTTAAATTATTCTCGAGAATTGAATTCAAAATCTGATTTGGTTTCCCAATTATGTTTAGAATGTCAGTTGGTATCCAAATGAGGTAGTAGATATTTACCCTGTGTCAGAGGAAAGTTGGGCTGGTGTTAAAATTAAAAAAAAAAAAAAAAAGAAGAAGCCATGGATAATTTCAGAAAGTAAATAGGTCACCTGCACAAAAGAGATTAAACAGTTTATTTCAACTCGCACTTCATGCATGCTTGGATGTGCAAATAGAGCATTTTTATTAAAGAAAATGCAATATGTAGATCTTAGTTCTGTCCAAAAGACTCTCTCAAGCTTCTATTTCAATGTATTTCAACCATTATTTTATCACAACAGAACTTTATCCAAGCCATTAGTATCTAAATTATATTAGAAAAATCATAAAATCTGAATTCACACATTAAACCCATTTTAATTTATTTTTAGAGGAACATGCCTTGAAGACTATGTTTAAAATGTAATTGTCACTATGTCATTGCTCAATTTTAAATACTTCAAAATGTGACAGTATTTCCTTAAAATTAAATTAATCTGCTTGTTTCAAAAAGACAAACCGATGACTAAAGAATTAAAAAAAAAAAAACTGCAAGCAAATCCAAAAGGTTTCCAATTCATATAAAATACTGAACAATTCACACTAAGTGGAGTTTTAAAAAAATTGTTTGGGTTTTTTTATTTTGTTTTGTTTCTCAAAAGTTGATACTTTAAACTTTAGAAGTGATGTCAAACAAGATCATACGTAATCAAAATATATTTATCCATAATAATAGTGAAGATATTTTAAAAATTACTTCAAGTAATTTAAAGTGGTCACTTTAGAGACTGAAAACTGTATCTCTAAAGGTTAGTAACAATACTGTAACTTAACTTATCTCAACTTATCACTCGTAGACATACATGCACAGTCTTTTGAAACTCATTCACAATAGCGGCAAGTGGAGATGAAATAAAAACATTAATGTGCATAATTCTTATAAAATCATTTTTGCTATCTCGGTGTCAACCATCTGAACCCTACCATACCTCAATTGATATTATATATCAGTTTTTATCATAACCCATAGCTCTGTCTTTGAAAGCATTCTTAAGCATGAGAAACATAACACCTCTGGAAAATAGTTCGAGTTTTTGTTTTATATTATTTTTCTTCTTTAGGCTCATTAAATCTTCCCTAAAATACAAGGGTATATTTCAGAACCATTTACAAATAGTCCACCATGACTATAAAACAAGTAGAATTGTTATAAACTAGAATATTTCCCTTCCTATGAAAGGGGGCTATGAAAATTCAAGAAAGTCTTGGAGTTTTCGTGGAGTCTGGTTTTAACTTTTGTTGATTGAGTTATTCAGTTTATTCAATTATTTTTTCCGCAATGAGAATAAGCTTTAAAAAAATTCTTTATCCTTAAAGTAAATCAGAAAAAGTCAAACATGCAATTATTGAATTTTTAATTTAATGATAAAAAAGACCACACACTAAATTTCTAATCGGTCTACTGGAAGTTGCAGCTTCACCGTTTCTTATTTCTGCACTCCTGAAGGACATACACTTCACTATCATCAGTCAACAGTGGGATGTTGAAGGGAGGCAATCAAATTTATTAGGCCTCAGGATTATATTGCATCATTAGCTAGGTTGACCAGTAGGCACTTTATTTCCTCTTTTCCCAATCAATCATATTTTTCTTGTATAGCAGAAAAAAATGCAGCTCAACTACATTTCAGTTCTAGAAATTTTCTTCATAAAAGGAAGTAGCATCTTCTGAGTGGAAATCCATAATTTAACAGTCTTTGGATTTCTAATCATTATGCTAAATAAGAATACTTAGAATTTTGATGTCCGTATCATCAGTGAAATAAAGATGACTAAAAGACTCAGAAACATTTAAAGAATTCCTCTACCTGTTTCAAAGCAGAGAGATTTTTCTATGAGTTTCTTCAGAACAGTATACATTTTGGATCACCCGCTAAACAAATGGGATATCAGAATATGCAAAAACAAAAACAATCATACTATTTACTAGGTTTCTTCCTGCTATTCAATAAATTTATATTACCAGTATCACCTGTTAGTAATTGTCAAACAAAAACAATGTTAAATTTTAAGGATCTGGTATATATTACAGACAGGAGCCCTGGTGGTAGCTGCTAACTGAAGGGTCAGCAGTAGGAACTCACCAGTCGCTCTGTGGGAGAAGGATTTGACAGCTTGCTTGTGTAAAGATTACAGCCTTCAAAACCCTATGGTGTCATTGTAATCTATCCTATAGGGTCACTATAAGTCATAAGCAACTCAATGTCAATGGTTTGTTTGGTATTACAGGTTAGGAAGTAAGATGATATGTATTTTCATAGAACTGTGAAGTTATAGAGGGCACATCACAATGAGAAACTCAACTCATTTGTATAAAAAATAAACACTCAATTTAAGGAGATGTAAGTAAGTTGCAAAAATCTTTAAGAATCATAAGTAGACACATACTTAGAAGGATAGCAAATTAAACATCCTATGCAATTTATGCATATGCATATGCAGAGACATTATTAAAACATAATGTTGCTGTTGTTGTTAAGTGCAGTAGAATGGAGTCTATTCTGACTCTTAGCGTCCCTATATTCTTGGGTATGTTCCTCATTCTACTACGTAGTATGCTATAGTTAGTGATAGTACTGGCAGGATGGATAGTCACTGAGAGTCATCAGGTACTGAGGCCTAATGATGTGACATAAACAGAAACTGTTTTACAGAAGTTCACGGAGAATAAATGAACTTCAACCCTTATGGAGTTGCCATGAGTCGATTATGATTCCACAGCAATTGGGACAGGTACAATTGATTGAAAGGGCCCCTTTAGTTCTTGGCAAAACTAAAAATTAAGCTCTCCTAAACAACTAATAACTTAGAATTCCAGGCTGATTAATGCAAGTGCATTAAATATTTTTATTATTTGGATAGAGAGCATTCTTTCTAATATTTACCCACCGCGTCTAATGATAGACTTTCAATAGAATGTTAATCCCATTCTTATTGAAGATTAGTGTTCCCAAAGGAAGAAGAAGAAGGGATGAGGGTGGAGTGTGATAACAAACATGTTGTTGTTGTTGTTGTTAGGTGCCATCGAGTCAGTACCGACCCATAGCGACATTATGCATAGCAGAACGAAACACTGCCCATCCTTGAGCCAACCTCACTATTTTTTGTTAGTATTTGAAAATGGCAGATATATATGTAGTAGGGAAGTAAGTATATATAGATTTTTTTTTCTTGATATTTAAAAATAAATCCTGGAATTGCCACTGTGTAGTCCTTTGAGGGAGTCCTGGTGTGGCGCTGTGGGTCAACGTGCTGAACTGTAAAGTCGGTTTGAGCCACAAAAGCGACTGTCAAGCTTACCAGGTGCTCTTAGGAAACCCTATACAGGGTCGCTATGGGTAGGAACCGACTGGACAGTATGTAGCAACAATAACAACAACAACAACATCCCTTTGAGACAATGGCTCATTTTATTTAGATTTCAAAACCCAAGAAGCCTTCTTAAACTAAGAAACTACAAAACTGTCCTCTGAGAGGGCAGTAGGGGGCCAAGCTTGGACCTAAGTCTTCCTCTAACTTTTCTTCAAGGACTGCCTAAGGCTGCCAACCTTCACCCTGCTGCCTGCAGTGGAGACAGAGATGTAGGTAGCTGGGAACCCAGAGAACTTGCAGAGCACAGCGGTAGCAAACTCCTCTGAAGAAAGGAAACCTGGAATCTGTTGTGGGCAGTGGGCGGCTGCCAGGAGCTTGACACATGTGTTGTGTGAGGTGCCTGTTTGGTAAACTGGTTTTCGTTTTTTTTGGCTTCCCACAACTGAAGCAGAAGGGGGAGCTGTCGAGGTTCCCAGTGCCCACAGAGCTTGCTCTTTGGGTTGCTGCTAGCCGGCAGCTTCGGGAGCTTGCGCGCTGTGTCTCTGTATAATTCATTGCATGTGTCTGACTGTCACTCCGTTTGCCTGTGCGACAAGAGAGCAAGAGACACCCCAGGAAAGTTCTCTCTGGAAGAAATGCCTCCAACATCCGCCTTGGTGAGTCGCTGGTGCCCCTGTTGCTGGCGCCTAGGATGCTGTCATTGTCACCTCATCATTTTGATTCCTCCAAGATGATTTATTTGCAGTTCTACATGAGTGAGAAATGCGCATCTACTGGAGTTGTTTCTGCCTGTGACCTTACTTCTTTGAAAGGAGAAAGTGGTTGGGAGGAAAGGAGAATAAGGGGGAATTCTCCTTGGGACAGTAAACTAATGGTGAAGAGCCCAAAACTTGTCAGGATTGAAATCTCACTCTACCATACATATTAGTTTTGTCCCTTGGTTAAAACATTTAATCTTTCTATACCTCAATGTCTTCGTTTGCAAAATGGAGAAGTAACAGCGCCTAGCTCATAGAATTGTGAAGAATGAAATAGTGAATGTGCAAAATGCGTAGTTCAGTGTTTGACACACAGTAGTTGCTATGCGTTAGCTGCTTTCATTATTTTCATCCTTGGCATCACAAATCTGGAGAAGGACTTTTCTGATCACTCCTACCCACCTCCCTCACCCCCACAGGAAAGCACTCGATTTGGGCAAATGCCCACGTCCCAAATCAAAGGGAGACAGAACCGTAACCCGCTTTCTCTGCGCCCTGTAAGACCTGCAGTTTTCCAGCCACCCCATCCCCCGTGAAGACCTGTCTCAGGGAATCCTTTCCCAGTAGCGGTGCGCACCACACTTGGGGTGCGCTCTAAAGGTTACCTGGCGCAAAAACAAAAAGCGCACGCAAGAAAGCCTGTCCCTATCTCTCCTGGATGAAGTTTGTTTGGGGGGTTTCCTACCTGCCCCAGGTTTTTGCCCTTCTTACTGCCGCCGAAAGCCAGTCCTTGGTACATGCCCGCAGATCGATTGGCAGCTTGGGCAGGCGTCTCCCCGCCCAGAGAGGACTTGATGGAGTTGAGTTTGGTCCGTGAGCTTCCAAGCTGTGAGCTCTCCACCATCAGCACCGCGGCCAGTAGGAGCAGGTAACGGGATGAATCCTTGCCCCGCATCAGCCCGGCCATCTCCCAGCAAGTGATCCCAGGGGAAGCGCAAAATCCGTAGGAGTGTGGATGCAAGAGGAGTTAGGATCTCACTTGGGACCCTTCACTTAGGGCACGTTGGCTCGTAGATTCTGTTCTCCAAACCTCTCTGACTTCTAGAGCCAGGACAGAGTGATCTCAGTCTCACTCCTCAGACCAGGAGCAAGTCCGACCCAAGCGAGACCCGCTTCCCCACCAGGGCAGGAAGTTCTGCAGTAACTGGAAGCAATCAAAGGCAAGGCGCCTTCTCGGCCAAGGAGGCGTGACCCGAGGTGCAAGAAGACCCAGCCCGGCGGCCCTCACCGCTTCCGTAGCTCCTTGCTCCGCACCTCCTTGGTCCTGCCCAGATCTGAGCGGTCCAATCCTCTTAATTACTCAGGAGATCCTCACTACCTCCTCTCTTTTCCTCTCCCTTTAACGTCTCAAGTTTTTCAGGACACTACTCCTCCTTTTCAAGGTTAGCAGGAGCTAGGGTAAAGAATTAGGGTTCGTCAACGGGCCGGACACTCGGGGTCTAAGGCGACTCCAAGTCCATCACTCTTGCTCTCACAGTGAGCAGAAGCTTTGTCTCCCAGTACACACTGAGCAGCCACCGGCAGACGGGAACTCCTGGACGACCTGGTAGCGGGCTTGCGCTCTGCGAGGTCTTTCTCTTTCCCTCTCTGTTCCCAGCCGCCCCTTTTGCTTTTTATAGCTTCCCACAGTGGGTTTCATTTTTCCTCCGCCCCCAATTCAAGAGTGACAAAGAGTGAAAACTCTTCTCTCACCCCCACGCTCCCTCCCTCCTCCTATCCCCCCTGCTCCTTCCTTCCCCCTCCTTCTTCTCCCCATCCCCACAGGCTTGCTCCTCCTCCATCCTCATAGCTGATGTCTGGTCCCACAACAATTTTGAGATTTGTCTTCCAGAGGAATAGTTCCTAACAACAGTTTCAGCAAGTGGAAGGACATTGGAAACAGACAGGGACAAATATTGAAATGGGGAAATGGTGCATCTGGACCACCACCGTTCCTTGGGTCTCTGCACCTATCTCCAGACTCAGCCTACAAATTCTTACAGAAGTTTCATACAAGTGAAAGTCTGTGTTCGAGTTTGGTTTCAGTCTTAGCCTCCCAGTGGGTGTGTGACTCTGGGTAGGTGCAGCGGATCAGAGAAAGGGTCTTTGGAATGGGAAAGAAGAGGGCCAGTAAAAGGGGGGAAGATACTCAGAATCTCCTTCTCTGTAAAGTTTTTTCTGAACACATCCCTCCACCTCCGAAAACACAAAAAATAAGTTTGTGTCTCTTCGGATGTGAGAGGAGGAAGGTGATGCTCCAGGGTAAGCTCCATACTTTAGGACCTTACATCACCACTGGTCATCTTTAAAGTTCCAGGCAAAAACTTTCTTTAGAAAGAGCAAATCCCAGACAAATATGAACAGGGGTAGGGGAGCCTTTAAGGTCTTAGCTTCCTGCTTTCTAAACTCTGGGAATTTCATGGGAAGGCTTTCTTGCCAGCCCCAAACAATCCCCAGGTTCCATTGATTTCAGCGAAAATCCAGCGCGATTGGGAAAGGAGCTGGTGCATACGAGAGCTGGTCGCTTGGGGGCGCCAGTGGCAGCCGCTGGGCGACGTGAGAATACACTAGAGAGGACAGACTAAGAGGTCTCAGAAAGTCCAGGTTTGGAGAGGTTTGACATCCAAGCGCCAAGGATTCCAAGGCAGTGTTAAGGTAGTGTCTTTGCTAGTGGGCAGGGATAGGTAAAACGGACAGAGAGGAGGGAACTATCCTAAAATTGTTGCATTTCTCCTTCTCAGGCACCAATATACTTGCAATGAGTAATCCAGGCAATTCAGTGGCAGCTAATGACTAGGGGAGCAGCCTAGCCACTCTGTAGGGTAAAACTCTTTAGAATATTCCGACCTAGGATCCTGAGCTTTTGCATACTTCAGCACCTACAGGAACACCTATTTAGCATATTGAGTGAAACTTGGTGACTCAAATTTTCCCTAAAACAGTGCAGCATTCTAAAATATGAATTTATAGCTAGTGTCTCCCTGACAGCTCTTGTTTGGCATAGAATCAGTCAGCCCTGGAATCCTTCATTCTCAAAAAAGTTTTCATTTGTTATTGTTGTTTTGTTTTGTTTTATAATTAACAAAAGAGGAAAAAAAATTCGATGAGGTCTCTGGCATGTTTTCATTATTGGACTTCTTCTTGCTGCATTACACACCTAAGAGTAGAGATTTTCAAATTTAATGACTTTTTTGTCACTTAAAAAAAAAAAAAAAATATATATATATATATATATAACCAGGAATGAATTTGTAAGAAACACAGCATTCCAGCAGGATTCAGCATTTAGATTTTACAGTGTTATGTATTTTGCCTTCATATGGTTTCCCAAGTAGAGAACATCAGAGAAATAAAAAAACAAAAAGTTAGGAGTCTACTGGTTCAGATATTTCTGAGTGTTTTTTACAGTAAACAGAAACAACAAAATAGAGCTAAATATAGAGGTGACAAATCATTCTACATCCATTTTGAGGCAGTAAATATTGACCATATGCTGACAAAGAAACTGAAATGAAGCAAAATAAAATTTGAATATGCTTTCCCTATTTCTGTCAACCTCTTCCTCTACCTCCAACCAAAATAATAGTCTATATATACACGCCTAACTAGTCTCATATGTGCTGGAAAAAAAAATAATAAGTGGTGTCAAATGCGTGTATGCATCTACTCTTAAGGAATCCCTCAGCTTTGGGTACCTAGATAAAGATATTATCTTTGAAGCTGGCGTTATTTAAGAACCGAAGTCTAAGTCTAGTGCAACATAAGGCAACTCCAAAAGCATATTTTTCAAAAGAGTTAAATTCAAAACTCATATGAAATTTACTAGTACAAGCATTCTTCCACAACACAAAATCGCACACATGGAATCAAATTCTAAAACATGTACATACTCTAGGAGGAGTCCTAGAGTGGCACTGTAAGGTAAAAACTGGACTGCAAGGTCGGCGGTTCAAACTCACCAGCTGCTCCTTGGAAACCCTATATAGGGTCACTATGACTTGGAACAGACTCAACAGGACTCAATAACAACGACAACATACTTTAGGAGGAGATCTGGTGTGTGGAAGTAGTATAAGTACTAGACTGCTAACCACAAGGTTGGTGGTTGAAATCCATGAGCCACTCCTTTGAGACTGTATACAGGGTTGCTATGAGTTGAACTAACTCAACAATACTAAACAACAACATACTTTTGGATAAACAAAGAGAAACAAAAATGAATTTCATTCATGACCTAAAATTCTTTCTATATAATTATGTTACATACACTGTTAGAAACAGACACATATTACCCTTCTGTAGACAAGTCCACAGGCTTATACCAAATCAACTGACTCCAAGTAAACATAATTTTTGTATTACTGTCATAATCACACATGAGCTTTTCTTGTGTATTTTTTACAAGTATGAAGATAACATACTTCATAGTCTACTTGGGAGAAAAGAAAGAGATGATTATAATATGAGTATATTTTTATTTCTTCTTTTCAAATATAATTAAATAATTTCTTTTCAGATTTCACTTCAAAGCATCTAATTTCTGATCTACAAGCCAAAAAAGTCAGAAAAGAAAAACCAAAATGAGGAGAAATGGCAGGATTTCCTTTTTTAGTAATTCCCTTAATAATAATAATAACAATAATACCATCTTACATTTGTATACCAAAACCATCTATTGTTGTCATGCTGTTGGAAGTTATGCCACTGATTAAAAAACCAGTAACGTCATCCATCCATGGTGGATAGGTTTAAGTGGAGTTTCCAGACCAAGACAGATTATTCATTTTTAAAAAGTTAAATTTGCTACTCCTGATAAGCTATTGTTGCCTTCAAGTTCCTTCAAATTGGTTCTAAATCATGGTGACCCAGTAAAGAGTTCTGAGGTGTGCCTGGTGGATTTGAACTGCCGATCATGAAGTTAGCAGTTCAATTGTTATCCTACAGTGCCATGCAAAGACTCCATTCCTGAAAAATAGCCAATGAAAACCCTTTAGATCACAATGAAATAGTGGGATAAGTGAAGTTATGAGATTAAAAAAATCACACACACACAAACTACAAAATGGGTAGTAAAAATGGATTTGGACATACTAATATTTTTAAGATGGCACAGGACCAGGCAACATTTTTTAACAGTTTACACAGTGCCATCAATAGTCAGACACTTAGTGTGGCGCTGTGAGTTAATGTGTCAGACTACAAAGCCGTTTGAACTGCAAGGCCGGTGGTTCAAGCTCACCAGCTGCTACTTGAAAACCCTATACAGGGCTGCTATGGGTTGGAATCAACTTGACGGCACTTCACAACAACAACAACTAAATTGTAACTAACAACAACAAATATCAGAATGACATTTACAATTTACAAGGATTTCAAACTATTTTTTCATTTGATTAATATCCTCAGGATATTGAGATGCAATCCATACCAAAGGCTGTGTTCTTTGATTTTCATCAGTAAATAAGTCCTCTTTACTTTCAGTAAACAACGTTGTTGACTCTATTTCTAATGGTTTTCTCATTCCACACTGTCTCACCAATTGTTGCTGTTGTTGTTAGGTGCCATAGAGTCGGTATTGAGTCATAGCAACCTTATGTACAATAGAACGAAACACTGCCCAGTCCTGGGACAACCTCACAATTGTTATCATGCATGAGCCAATTGATGCTGCCATTTTGCCAATCCATCATGCTGGGAGTCTTCCTTTTTTTTTCTCTGACCCTCCACCCTACAAAACATGATATCCTTCTCCAGTGACTGATCTCTCCTGACAATATGTCCAAAGTATGAGAGACAAAGTTTGGCCATCCTGGCCTCCAAGGAGCACTCTGGCTGCACTTCTTCCAATACAGATCTGTTGGTTCTTTTGGCAGCCCTTGGCACTTTCAATATTCTCCTCCAACACCATAACTCAAAACATCAATTCTTCTACGGTCTTCCTTATTCACTGTCCAGCTTTCACATGCATATAAGGTTATTGAAAATACCATGGCTTGGGTCAGGTACACCTTAGTCTTCAAGCTAACATCTTTGCTCATCAACACTTTAAAAAGGTCTTGTTAAGATGATTTGCCTAATGCAATACATCATTTGATTTCTTGACTTCTGCTTCCATGAGTGTTGATAGTTGATCCAAGAAGAATGAAGTCCTTGACAACTTCAATCTTTTCTCCATTTATAAGAATGTTGTTTATTGGTCCAGTGGTGAGGATTTTTGTTTTCTTGACATTGA